TTTCATGTGTTCCTTGTTTTTCTTTTTTTAATTCATTAGTTTTTATTTTTCCCGTTGTTTTGTTTTGCCCGTGATGGTGGTTCTCTAAAGTACAACGTTAAAAATACTCCTTTCAGCTCCTCAGGAGAAAGGGGTGAGGAGTAGGAGCAGCCTCGCATCCCAAGAGGCAGCCTCGGAGTTCTGAGGTGTTACCGGGTGGCTCCGTCTTTCCACGCGGCTCCTTTCGGGATGCTCGGGAGGGAATGAGAAGCGCCTTGTCTTCCTTCTCCATATGTGCTGTGATGTTCGGGAGCACTAAAAGAAAGATATCCCTGTTTGACAGGCTCTGGAGCAGGTTTTCACTTTTCGGATCCCTCGCGCCGGGCTCATGTTGTGGAGGATGGCACACAAGTGCGGAAATGCTCCATGTACCGCTCGTGTACGAGTGTTTCTCACAAACTGTGTTTTACTCCTGCGTGTGTTATCTGCACTAGAATGGCATTGTTGGGTGCCCCTTTATCCCATGTTCACACCAATGGATTCCTGCCAGGCCCAAGCTCGTAACCATGCAGCTGCTGTTGTGCTTCGCTGCGGGCTGCTATGTGATAAAGCCAAGGTAGATGTAGACTGATTCCTGTGTGAGAACAGCCAATGCATTTGCTACCCTTGCACTCACAAAAACTGCTTTTTCTCCCCCACCCTTTAAAGATCAGTCAGAAATAATTTAGTTAACTTGGCATACATTTGCATAACTTAAATAATTCTTGGCTGACTCTGGTGCAATACAGCTTTTTTTTTTTTTTTAATTACTTTTCACATGTGGGTCATATGGAAGTGTTTGTGGGTGTAATGTTTATATACAGGCATTTTCTCTTACCAGCAGTATAAAATTACACTGTTAGGTTTTCAGAATGAGCTTGGGAACATTAGAACCAAAAAAGGTTTTGAGAACTCTTATGTGGAATACAGTAGTGATCTGTTGAATCATTTATGAGCACAACTATCTGCTGAAGTTAAACATACGCCTAAAACCAGCACAGGGTTTGTGGAGATTGCTTCGTTCATGTTGCTCTGATCTAAATCATTTTCTGACAAAAGTCGGAATAGGCTTCAGCATAGAGTTAAATTTTCCCTCATTTCATCCAAGTGGCTACTTAAGAGCTTAAATAACTTCAGAATCAAGAAGGAGGTTGATGGCAGAAATTGTTAAATTCCTTGAATTTACAGTGATGTTTGAAACCCTCGGTTTAGAGGCGAATGAATACATCAAGCAGGATTGCATAGGATGCTGTTTCCCTTTGGGTCCCTGTGCACAATCCTTTGGCTCTGTGTGAAATCTGTGCTTTGACTGATCACAGAATCCCGGAATGGTTGAGGTTGGAAGGAACCTCCAGAGCTCATTTAGTCCAACCCCCCTGCTCCAGCAGGGACACCCAGAGCATGTGGCACAGGGTGGCATCCAGGCGGGTTTTCTGCTTCAGTCTCACAGGATGTATTTCTGCTTTAAGCACGCTGCTGTACTGCTTGATCTGGAGCCTGAGAGGTGCAGTACAGGACTCAAGTAGGGTGCCAAAATGCAAGGAATGCAGCTGGGTGCCCCATCTTGCCATCGCAGGCAGGATCTTTACTTCACAAAGCCAAAAGTATGCAAGAAAAATTGTTTTCTTTTAGAAAACATGGTGTTGCTCCTTTTAGACACTCCTCGCAGCTGACAGGCTGTGCTGTTTCAGTTTGCTGATGATTTGGTATTGCTAAAGGTTGCAGTAGGTGTTTGCAGTACACCAGGTGATGAGAGAACGCAAGGCTGTTTGGAAGTTTCTTCCCTGCATGTCTGGTGCATCCACCAGTGAAAGCAGTTCAATCCCCCACGGTTCCCAGGCACGTAGTAACTCCCCAACACTTCCACGGAGGGTGTGTGAGTTGTGAGGAGCTCAACTACACATCAACCCTATCTAAGCAAGCACCTCAAATGCAGTGCTGTGAGCTCGGTTGTCAGCTGGTGAAGTCACTAGCTGCTGACACCTTTCTGTGTCGTCTCGGCAGGCACAACATAAAACGCCTCTCCTGACTGGCACTCGCAGAACTGCAGCCAACGTGAACAAGCAGCATAAGGCTGGAGTCTGCTCTCATGTTTTAGGGTTTTCATTTCTGGGAGAAACGCCAGAAATGATTTTAACTGCTGTGGACAAAAGTTCCACTTTAGGTTGGAAGTCTGGGGAAATTAAAAAAAAAAAAAAAAAAAATGTACAACACAGAACACATGTAATTGCAGGCTTTGAAGGGCTAAAACTTGCTGAAAATTGAGACTTCCATTTATTGTGCATCCTATTTCTCACCTTTTTGGGGGCTTGTTAACAATCAAACAGACATTTAAGTGTTTTTTTGCTTGTTTTGTTTTACCAGTGACTACAGTCTACATTGAAGTGTGTGTTTTAGGTTTTAATGGAGCATTTTATCAACTGCATCGCATAGCCTCCCTGGGCAGCCTGTGCCAGGGCTCTGTCACCCTCGCAGGAAAGAAGTTCTTCCTCACATGGAGATGGAACTTCCTGTGTTTTAATTTGTACCCATTACCCTTGTCCTGTCACTGAGAAGAGTTTGGCCCCATCCCCTTTACATTCTCCCCTCAGATATTTGTACATGTTGATCAGATCCCCTCTCAGCCTTCTCCAGACTAAACAGGCCCAGCTCACTTATCTTCGTTCATATGATAGATGCTCTAGTCCCTTAATCATCTTCGTGGCCCTATGTCGGACCGTCTCTAGAAGCTCCACGTCCCCCTTGGACCGTGGGGCCCAGAACTGGACACAATACTCCAGATGTGGCCTCCCCAGGGCTGAGTAGAGGGGCAGGATCACCTCCCTCAACCTGCTAGAGATGCTCTTCTTAATGCACCCCAGGATCCCATTGGCCTTCTTGGCCACGAGGGCACACTGCTGCCTCGTGATTGATTTGTTGTCAACCAGGACTCCAAACCCCTTTGTGGGATGTGGACTGTGCATCCACATAGTCTTATCAGTACAAATAATTCAAGAAACCATTAGAAGTACTATTTCATGAATATCAGTGTCAATAAAATCTGAATTTCTGTGGGTAAATCCTCCTCCCTCAGTGTGATGAATGTAACCAGCTTTCTTTTATCTTCCCTGCCCGAGGGAATGAGTGGTTTCTTTCTAGCCGTGGGCACAAAGTGACCACCAGGCTGCTCTTCCTCCTTCCTCCTGCTCCCTCCCATTCTTCCTGAATAAGGAATGGAGTTATGACTCTGTGGGAAAGACTTCTGACACATTTGGCTTCCTCTGTAATTGGACACAGATTTCAGTAGAAACTCAGGAATTAAATATCTATTGTCCCCTGTGCTAAAGTTGGTTGGAATTGACTTGGAGGTTAATAACCAAAGGGAGAAGAATAAACAAGCAGTGGAATTATAAGCCTTTTATTTCCTCTGAGGAATTCAGAATGCTTGTACTTGCTCTTCACAATTGCATGTATTTAAACCTGCAGCATCATTCGTATTGAAGGTTTAGCTTAATCATTTAAGACTTACTTTCATTTTCATATAGTATATAGTAGATATTTTACTACATTTTGCAGGTGAAGAGGCAAGTTAATAGTTCACACCTTTACTGATCACACCTTTTATTCAAAAAAAAATCTTTTAGGAGTGTGATCATGATATTTGGAAGTGCTTACTGATCAATTTCTATTAAGTCAATCTTAAATTTGCAAAACTTTTTTTTTTCTGATATCTCTTTCAATGGTATCAAAATAAGCTCTAAAACTGAAAGCCACAGGAGTAAATGTATGTAGAATTAAGTCTCTACTGACCTGTTTTAGTGACTTCCCAAATTGGAGATGGAGCTTGAATATCTAATAGCCCTCTGTGGAGTTTTCTTAAACAAGTTTATACAGTAGCTTTTGGAGTAATACCAGCTTTCTTGTAGTTCAATAGTTTAGCCATATATCACATGAATAAATATTTTCTTTGGTTTTCACGGTGTAGTTTCATTTCGTAGGGACCTCTCCCATGGAAAGAGAGGTGAGAGCAGTTGTTTTGCATTATGGGTTTTGTAGATATGCTTTTATTTCTTGCCTTGAAAATTTTCCTGGCTTCCTTTATAGCAAACAGTAAAATACCCAAATACTCAAACAACGTGGGCACTTTCTTTTTAATTGTGGTCATTTATTCAGTTTTATACTAATCTTTTCCCTTTCCTAAAGGCAGCTGAACTGAATACCTGTTGTTTATGGCGCAGGTGTCCGAGCTGTGACCTAGGGCCTGGATCTCACTCAGCAGCAGAGTTCATCTAGCGTCCCGTAAGGGGTGCGTGTCTTTCAGTCATACGCTGGAGCCTGAGCCACCCAGCAGAAGAGTCAAATTCTTCTGTACACATATGTTTTCATGCTGTCTTTAAATCTACAAGCTGTTGGCACCGCTGGCTTCGTTGCTGTGGCGTCCAGGGGCAGCAGTGCGCGCCTCGCTCGGTGGCAGCTTCCTGGCTTTGCAGAACCCTGGCTGGAGGGGAGTATCCCTCAGAGAGCAGGAAATAAACATAGAGAGGGCCAAAGGAGAGCGTTAGTTTAACACAACGCATGTTCCTCCAAGGACAGGCAGCTGCAGGGCATACCCCTGCAGCAGGCCCATCCTCTACCACATCTATTCCTCTCGGGACTAGTGGTTCTTCTCACAGGGGCCCAGTGCTCCTTTTGCCCATCTGCCTGAGACTCGTGAGTTCCAGAATCTCTTGTTGTTGCTCTCTTCTTCTTTTACACACCAGAAGGGAGTCTCTCACCTTCATATATGTTACAATTCTCCCAGAGGAAAAGTTCATAAATCAGAGCTGTGATTCCAAAGTGTGTCAAAGCGTGTCTTTAATATAATTTCTTGCTGTCTGAACGTGCCTTCTTTTTACTCTGAAATAAATATCTCATAATATTTTTGTATTTCCATTCTTTAAGAAATTCTTCATACTCTTCTATTACATGTTTTTATTATAGAAATAAGGGGGCTGCGATAGAATACTTAATTAAATCTCAGTACAGTGTTTATTTCAGGTCAATGCCATAGCCTTAGTGCTGCCAAATTAAGGTATTTTTTTTAAATGCTCTGGCAGATCACTGCTGGAAGGCATAAGGCACAGTTTCTTACTGTGTTCAAAATACAGAGAACTAATTACAGCTGGAGCTAAGTGCTTACCTGCCTCCAATTTTTGCGAGCAGAAGTTTCAGCTTTCCTTTGCTAGCCTCTTTACTTTGGACGGGGGCAAGGTTATCAAACCAGAGTATATGGTAAAGTTTTTCTCTAGCTAAGATTTTCAAAGCGTATGACGTGTCTTAAAGGAGGAGGAGGTAGGTGAATGCCAACTAACTGCATCTTCCTTTGGGGGCAGCTGCTTGCTGTGCTTTCCTTGGCATGAATCTAGTGAGTCTGTCAGGGAATGTTAATGACCTAACAACTTTAGTCTTTTCAGTATTACATTAATTTACCATCTTTCCTATTTTATTCAACATTTTATTTATTTCGTGGGAGAAGTAGAGGACGTTCAGCATTTTCTGGCTCATAAACTACAGCAGAGCTGAAAATTGTTTTGCATTTTTGGTAGCTAAAGGTGGAAATTCTTCTTGATAGCCATTGACTACTCTTCCAATGCAAAAGCTCCTTGTTTCTTTTCCATTAACTGTTTCTTCTTTTTTTTTTTTTTAAGCAGCAGATATTTGAGAGGAGGTTCTGCATTGGAGCAGAGAAAAATAGGCAAAAAGTAAGTTGCTGAAGTAAAGGCAGGTGACAAGAGACTACAATTAAAGTTAAGATACTTCAGAGTGAGGTTATCTACTCATCTGAACAGTCTATCAAAGGCTGCAGCTACAATGGATTCTGCACATGTGGAAAACTTTTAAATCATAATCAGAAGTTTAGTTAAAGAGTATGTTTCAGTTTGGATAAGGATTAACATGGGCCCCGTGATTTGTGTTATTCAGTTCATAGGAGAACTGTCTGTGATGCTGTGTTACCTGCTATACCAGCTTACCCCTATGACAGCATCTCCGTTGTGCTCTTTATAGCATTGTACCTTGATTTAATAGCATTATGGTAGTGGTACATTAATATGGGATGTTGTTTTTTTATTCTGCCTTTTAGCCACTCTCTCATTTTCAAACTTAGCCTCACTGTGGTCTGAGTGGAACTTCAGCCATTGTTAATGTTATAATTTATACTGTTCTGTTTTGTAGGATCATGGATTTTCCAGGACACTTTGAGCAAATCTTTCAGCAGCTAAACTACCAGAGGCTTCATGACCAACTTTGTGACTGTGTCATTGTGGTGGGAAACAGGCATTTCAAAGCCCATCGCTCCGTTCTGGCAGCATGTAGCACTCATTTCCGAGCTCTCTTCACTGTCGCGGAGGGAGATCAAACCATGAACATGATTCAGCTGGACAGTGAAGTGGTGACGGCAGAAGCTTTTGCAGCTCTGATTGACATGATGTACACCTCCACATTAATGCTCGGGGAGAGCAATGTTATGGATGTCTTGCTGGCGGCTTCTCACTTGCACTTGAACTCTGTTGTTAAAGCGTGTAAGCACTACCTCACTACCAGGACACTGCCCATGTCCCCGCCGAGTGACAGGGCCCAAGAGCAGAGCGCCCGCATGCAGAGGTCCTTCATGCTGCAGCAGCTGGGGCTGAGCATCGTGAGCTCCGCGCTGAACTCCACGCAGAGCACCGAGGAGCAGCCGAGCGCCATGAGCTCCTCCATGAGAAGCAGCGTGGAGCCGCGCTCCGCCTTTCCCATGCGGCGTCTCCACAAGCGCAAGCAGCCCTCGGAGGAGCGGGCCCGGCAGCGCATCCGAGCTGCCATGGATGAGTCTGCCTCGGACGCCGCCGCGGAGAGCGGGCCGTCCGCGCCGCACTCGCGGGAAGACTTTTTTTCACCCGATTCCCTGAAGATGGTGGACAATTCCAAGACTGACGCTGTTGCTGATAACCAGGAGGACAACACTGTCATGTTTGATCAGTCTTTCAGTGCTCAGGAAGATGCCCAAATGCCCAGCCAGTCTGACAACAGCGGAGGAAACATTTCACAGATGTCCATGGCAACGCAGGTAGAAACCAGCTTTGACCAAGACACTACTTCAGAGAAGAACAACTTCCCATGTGAGAATTCAGAGGTCAGTCTGAATGAAAAGGAACATATGAGGGTGATGGTTAAATCTGAGCCCTTAAGTTCCCCGGAGCCTCAAGATGAAGTGAGCGATGTCACTTCCCAGGCAGAAGGCAGCGAGTCCGTTGAAGTGGAGGGAGTAGTGAGTGCAGAGAAGATAGAACTGAGTCCAGAAAGCAGCGATCGTAGCTTTTCTGATCCTCAGTCCAGTACGGATAGGGTGGGAGACATCCATATTATGGAAGTATCAAATAACCTGGAACACAAATCCACTTTTAGTATCTCCAATTTTCTAAATAAGAGCAGAGGTGGCAGCTTTGGTGGTGGTCAAAGTGGTGACGACAACATTCCAAACACAACGAGCGACTGCAGGATGGACAGTGACGGCTCCTACCTGATGAGCCCGGAGTCTGGGCCCGCAGGTGGCCATTCCTCTGCGACAGTCTCTCACGTAGAGAACCCGTTTGGTGAGCCCGTGGACTCCCACTTTGTCAGACCGATGCAGGAGGTAATTGGCCTTCCCTGCGTGCAGACTTCTGCGTACCGGGCTGCAGAGCAGTTCAGCATGGATTTCCCAAGGTCGGGTCTGGGCCTGCATTCCCTATCCAGGGCCATGATGGGCTCCGTAAGAGGGGGAGCCGGCGGCTTTCCCGGCTACCGCCGTATAGCCCCCAAAATGCCTGTCGTGACCTCTGTCCGGAGCTCCCAGCTGCAAGATAACGCGTCCAATTCCCAGCTCCTAATGAATGGGGCCACCTCTTTTGAAAACGGGCATCCTTCACAGCCGGGCCCCCCGCAGCTCACAAGGGCATCTGCAGACGTCCTTTCGAAATGCAAGAAGGCCTTATCTGAGCACAACGTCTTGGTGGTCGAAGGTGCTCGCAAATACGCCTGCAAGATCTGCTGCAAGACGTTTCTGACGCTCACAGACTGCAAGAAGCACATCCGCGTGCACACGGGAGAGAAGCCTTACGCCTGCCTCAAGTGCGGCAAGCGCTTCAGCCAGTCCAGCCACCTGTACAAACACTCCAAAACAACCTGCCTCCGGTGGCAGAGCAGCAACCTGCCCAGCACTTTGCTTTAATCCCTTCCACGCCAATGCAAACTCCTCGGTCTCTGAAGTATTTCGGGAACGTTAACGCTACTTTGCTCCAGGCAGTGGGTTGGGAGGCGGCCCTTGCAGATCATGGTTGTGCTGCACGTGCACACAAAAGGTTTTGTAAATTGGGGATACCAATTGGGGATACCATACCTACCTCACAAGGGACGTTGTGAGGCTTAAACAGCTGTCAGTTAAGTGCTTTGAGATCCTAAGAGAGTGGCACCGTTTCTGTGTTAAGCATTAGTAGTAGTAGCAGTGGCATTATTAGAGTGTTGTGTATATGTAGGCCTTGGGCTCATGGGGATATAATCCCTGAAACCTCAGTTCCTTTGCAGGGCAGAGAGGTCGGGGTTGAGTGAGGACGTAGTTGTCTCCTAATTATGTTTAAGTACATTTCAAGAAGAACAAGAAATTTTAAGTGCAAATTTCCTCTTTTTTAAGGTATTTTGTAAAAGTGAAAGCGTTTAAATAATGACTTGTAAAATAAGTTAATTGTATATGAAAAAAAATCAAATCGCATATCTTTAAAAGAAAAACAACTTTGGATGCATCTGACTGCCATAAAATACTTTAAAACATGTTAATTATAAAAAAATAGCGGTAGAATTCTGAATGTATGTTTGGCTGTTTTGTAGTAAAGGACACTGTGTAATGAAGGTGCTTAAATTAAATCCAAGACAATAACTTTTGGTCTGCTAGATGTATATATACTTCAAACACAGCAAGATTTGGGTGTTTGGCACCCCCCCCCCTTTTTTTTTTCTTCTGTAAAAACTTGTATTAAGTGATAAGTGAAGTACTGTTTCTTGTTTGTGCTATTTTAGTGGTATTTTAACTAACTTGTATTTCATATTTTAAAAACTCATGTACGCAGAGTCTGAGAAGAGCTTGTCTTTGCCTGCTTTGTTAGTCTGAATGAGAGATATAATGTGATGGCTTTTTCTACTGTTTAAGGTGGTCTCTTGCAGTTTCCAGATGCTGATAGTCGATCTGATCCACATCTGTTGCGTTAGCAAACCACCCCTTGCTGATACTCATATATTCAGGCTTTAATTTCCTTCCATGACTCCTTTGCAAGTACAGATGCTTTCTCAGATCAGTACAGTAAGGAATGATCCTCACTTGTCATATTTATTTATGCCACTGTATAATGTAGTTATCCAAGCCAGGCCTTCAGTCTAAGGTAATGTCATAGTACTATTTTTTCCACGTAAATTAAAGAAACATAAGTTTATTTCAAAAAAATAGCACTGTACACCTTATAAAGCATTTTGTTATCTTTTTTCTTCAAGTCAGTTGCCTAAATCTTGTTTTTAATTTCCTGTTCTGTGATACCGTTTTACCTAATACTGTTTGCAGTCTGGCTTTTTCTTCCTTTTTTTTGGGGATGTTGTCATTGTCATTCTTGTTAAAGATGCACATGAACTTCTAACTTTTGGCATTATTAGGTTTCTAAATAATATTTGGGAGCACTTCTACTGATTAATATTACCTGGTTACTCTACTATATAATAGATGGGTCAGGATTTCACTGTATCTGTTCTACTCACTAAAGACTGATGGTCAATATTTCCTGTGTCTTAGTCACACAGCAGATGCCTCTCTAGAAACTTTCTCCTCTTTGTGTAGCAAATATATCCTGCATGACATTATTCAGCAGTTCTGAGGACTTGAGTGCTGATAGTTAGCAGACTTAAACATCTTGGGTTTACATTTGCATAAACCGAAAATAAAATCTTAATCCATGGCCTGCAGGTAATTTAGCAGGACAAGCTATCAAAATTGTTGAAGCACAAAAAACATTCATAGAATCACAGAATGCTTAAGGTTGGAAGGGACCTCTAGAGATCATCTAGTCCAACCCCCCTGCACATGCAGGGTCACCTAGAGCACGTGGCACAGGACTGCATCCAAGCGGGTTTTGAAGACCTCCAGAGAAGGAGACTCCACAACCTCTCTGGGCAGCCTGTTCCAGTGCTCTGGCACCCTCACTGTTAAGAAATTTTTCCTTAAGTTCCTATGGAATTTTTGGTGTTTCAGTTTCCGGCCATTTCCTCTAGTCCTATTATCAGTGGCCACCAGTGAAAAGAGACCATCATCGTCCTCTGCACTCCCTCCCTTGAGGTATTTATATACACTGATTAGATCCCCTCTCAGCCTTCTCTTTCCAGGCTGAACAGGCCCAGCTCCCTCAGCCTCTCCTCATAGGGCAGCTCCCTCCACCTGCTGGAGATGCTCTTCTTAACGCACCCCAGGATCCCATTGGCCTTCTTGGCCACGAGGGCACCTGCTGCCTCATGGTCAACTTGTTGTCCACCATGATGCCCAGGTTCCTCTCTGCAGGGCTGCTCTCCAGCAGCTTCGTTGTCAAACCAGAGGATGCTCGGAGCTCCTTCTGCATTTGGCTTTATGCAAAACAGTAAATGGCTAATAAGGAAAAGCATCTTGTCTCTAGTTACATCTCTCCCATTTGGGAGAATACCTAGTGTCTATCAGTGCATCGCGTGTAGCCTGTCGTGGATCATGAGGTTGCAGTCAATGGCCTCTTAAAACGTTGAAATTACAGACTATATCTAATGGTCATGTATTTCGGTTCTTGAGATTTTTCAAGTATTAAATAAATGAACCACAGTTAAAAGTAGATGAGGAAATGCCAGATCTTGTTTGAAATCAGTTTGATATCTGAGTATTTAACAGCATTGGGCTATACTAAGTGATTTCATTGAGCCCTCAATAAAATGCAGTATTTCATATATTAATATTTATCGTGTTGCCTTATTGGTAAGATCATCTGTTTTATTTTTTAATTTTTCTTGGCTTTCTAGTGTTTTCTGTTTTTAAAAAACAAGTGCTTTTTTCCCATTTTGTATCTATTTTCTATAGTGCATCTGAAATTCCATCGTGCATAGGAATAAAGCAGATATATGAATATGGAGACTAAAATAATTAAGAATTAACATGAGCAGATGAATTAAATGTATATTTAACTACTTTTTGATCTGTTTTTATAATAAAATTTTAATGGCATTGGGAAGTGGCAACTTGGAAGAGAGGACTGCTGCTTTTTTTTTTTTTAAGTAAATTTGGCGGTTATCTTTGGAAGTAGCAATTGTAATTTTCCTTTTTGACTGGTATCTAGCCCCTCTGAATGGTCATCTTGAAAATCCAGGTGTGCTGTTTCTGGCATTTTGCTCTCCTAGTCTTCCAGTCTGAAGCAATACCTTTGAATGGCATCTCCACTCCAGCTGTCTTGTGCTGTAAAACGGGAAATTTTTCATCTCCACGCCTGGTAATTTCAAAAAGTTTATGACTTTTTCATTTGAAACTTAAGTTTCTGAACGCTACAGTGAGATCTCGTGTGAAGATGTTAGTGTGAAACACTACAATAAATGCTACATTTTGTGCTGATGTGTCTGGCTGGATTTACTTAATCATGTCATTGTGTGTCTGCTGAGGTCTCTTCTGGCAACTCGCTTAGTGAACTGTATTAGTACGACCAGTCGTTCTTTAACTGTTATGTTGCTCTTGATTTTTCTCAGAAAAGAGATGAAAGATGAAGTTTGTGGAGGGAGAGCCAAGTAACCACCGACACGGGCCGCTCACAGGGCGCCTTTCCTGAGGGTCCCCCTTGCCATTCGTGTCTTGCTTCTGGGAGCTGCTGACCCTTGGACTGAGAACGGGTAAGGCTTAATTCTGTATTGATGTCACTAGGTGCAGCACTAATTAGTTATGCTTAAACTTTTAATAAAAAAGTTTCAGGCTTCTTTAAGTACAAAGGGAGAGATAAGGTCAACGTTACTCTATCACTTACATTATTGAAAGTGTTTTTACAAAGCAGAAGCTTAACGAGTAAGGACATACTCAGCCTCCCTCATGGCAGAGCAAGACGATCAAGACCTGCAAAATGTGCCATTATTAAATTTCATAACACGGTTCCTTAGATGTGCTTCAGCCACTTAGTCCTGTTTACAAGCCCTACTTGTCAAAATCCATTAAGAGTAATTTCACCACTATCAAAATCACGTGTGTCAAACCCAAGCTCTCAAAAATGTGTTGTGCAGCCCAGCAAACTCATGTAACAGATTTTTGTTCATTTAATAAAACAAAGGTCCTCAGCAGCAGCAAGGTAAGTAATTTTCACTTCTCTTGCACCAATCTGAAAATTTCCATCCAAGAGCACACTTCTTTCTATTTTACATCACTGCATCTACAAGGCTGTTCTTGGCCAGCAGAGGCCTCAGAAACTTCCCAAATATTTGCAGAAGTATGTGAATTAGAATGAATTGATAAATTTGTCATATATTCTCTGAGGCATGAAGCAAGTATCTCACTGGGAGTACAAGGACTTTTACCTGCCCCCTAAAAGAACATGAAAATGTGCACTTTCACCTTTTCCTATCTGGTAACAAGAAAGTGCTCAGGGACGATTAGGCTGAACATACACACATTCAAAGCCAGGTTTCTGGGAGATTGTTTCGAACAGTCTGTTTTTAAACAGACTAAACCCCAAAATTCCCCAGGATGTGCAAGGGAGTTGGGACCTTCTCAGTTCTTCAGCTAGAACATGTCACTACATGTCTGAAAAAAACAGGGGAATTCAGGTCAGAATCAGCGTCCTTCTGTAGGCAGAACCTCCCACTGAGAATTTCCACTTGCAGTCTACGTGAGATACCAGTCCCGTTACCACAGCTATGTTCAGAACTGAGTCCAGACAAAAAAGGCTGAGCTAGAAATGCCAGTAGATCTCCAGAAGACTCTTTGCTTCTCCTTAACATCTTCAAAATAGAAATATAATGCCTTCCCACTGATTTAGCATAGCCTTTTTAATACTTACCTGCTTGAGAGCAGTAGGCCTGTGCATGTTGCTTAATAACCCCTCCTTCCCATTTCTGGCTAAGAGCTTGGTGTTCACATGCAAAGTCACCTGAGCTTCTTGCTTCGACCGGGAGATCAAGATTTGTAAAGTGGAGGCTGCATCAGCAACTCTCTTCTCATGATCCAACATATGCGGGCTAACAAAATACTCAATTACAGCCCTTACATTTTAAGGGTTTTCTGAGACAGGGCCAAAGATCCATCTGCTTCTGACTGCAGTTGTGACACGACCACAGAAACAGCAGCACCTGCAACTGGAGGACTCCCGTTTTTTCCTATTCATTTTCATGATCCAAAATGCACCCAAAGCCAACCAGTTTCCAAATTAAATGAACACAATACACCCAGTGTTTCTCTTTAGTAACCACTTCGCACTTTCCCTATTCCAGTTATCTTTAATACACGTTAGTTGCAGCAGGAAACGGGAACAGAGAGATGAGTGAAGCTTCTCCAGTGTCACGGATAACGTCGAAGCGACCTTGCGAGGCAGCGGGGCCCCGGGTTTCAAAGCAGCAGCTCACTGGGCATGGGTTCCCCCTTCAGACCAGCCAGGAGGTTCTTCGCTGCCAGCACGGACATGGTGTTCCTCGTGCTGTAGGTGGCACTCCCAATGTGCGGCAGGATCACTGCAGGGAACAGCAACACCGCTTCTGTGTCCACTGGCGCTCCTGCCTCGTCCCAAACCTCCCACGGATCTTCCCAAAGGCATCGGCAAATAGAACCCTGCACCAGCCGTGCGCTGGCATTCAACAGCAGAGCCAGAAGTAAAACGTTCCCCAGGCTGGATAAATGCTTAACTACGTTATTTTTACAGTCCTCCAGCCCGAAGGCAGTCAGATGTGGGTCTTACTTCCTGCATTCAGGCTTTTTACTTGCCTTATTGCAGGAAAACAGTGGTCTTAGATGTACAAAGGCTCTCCCTTTTACAGCCAAACATACCATGGGAATTTTCCTGCTGTGATCTGTTTCCCACACAACTTTGGGAGTTGCAGGCACTCCAGCCTCTTTTTGTTCTACAAAAGCTGAACAGCCCTTATGTGCAGAACCTCAAATATCCTCTATCCTGCTGGTTTGGAGGATAAAAAGTGTCCTGTGAGGACCTGGCTCCAAAATTCATTTCTTCCACAAATAAGGATCATACTTGGGTTCTCTGCATGCTGCAAAACCAGTGTTCACACCTCTTCTCTGCCTATCCACTGCTCTTCCAGCTGGTGAAACTTTTTGACAGTTTTGCCTGAAATCTACAAAAAGTTTCAGAATCTATGATTCTGTGATTCTATGAATCAAAGTCTCACTTCTGTGAAAATAAACATTCTCTGAATGTATGCTTTTTTTTTTTTCCTTGCTCGGTTTTGTTCCAAAGCTTTGCATTTTCTGAGGCCCCAGATTACTTCTGGAAAGCTTCAGCTTTTACCAATCCTCAAACTATGGGATCTAGATATGACACAGTAAAAACAAGTTTTTAACAGAAAGATCATTGAAGTATTACAGCTTATCAGTAACCTGAATTTCAGCAATGGATATCCAGTGATGGACAGTCCCAATTTTTTACTCTGAATTCCCTGCAGTTTCTTCATGGAGCAGGTTTTTCCTGCTTCTGAAGCATGCTTCCTTGGCAGGGGCCTTCTGCTGCCACCTGCACAGCCAGGCTGGTAGCTTGCCCAT